TAGTATCTCTAAGACAAGTGGTAGACAATGTTTTTTGGTTAAGTCTTGGTCAAATGTTTTTTTTTTTTGTAATTGCCAGCAGCTCAACTTCATTGGCTATGTATTATATGTGTTTTTGGCTAAGTATTAAGTCAGTTTGAAAGCCAGTTTCCCTTCAATCTGTTTTTGTAAACTTACATTTGCCAAGTTCACCTCAAATTACATTTGCAAATGTTTTTTTACAACTGCCAACAAGTCAACTTCATTGGCTATGTATTAGATGAGTTTTTGGCTAAGTATTAAGGCTATTTGGCAGCCAATTTCCCTTTAATATGTAAATGTAAACTTACATTTGCCAAGTTCACTTCAAAATTACATTTACCAAGTTCACTTCAAATTTGTCAAAGTTTGGAAGCCAATTTCCCTTCAATCTGTGATGAGTTTGCCAACTATATTAACCAGTTAGGACCATACTGTCTGGGACCATAAAATTAACCAACCAACAATGGAAACAAATAGAAAGTAAACAAATTTTCAAGGAAATCCACACTACATAGGTTCAAACTAGAAAGTCACAGTACATACAATAACTTCCAAGCTGAGTCTGGGGGAGCATTCTAACAATTCCAACATTATAACATTTGTCTGGGAGCATTCTTACCATTCATACTGAATTTGTAAACACATGGAATACAAAAAAAAAAAAAAAAAATTGCAATCACAACTGCAAACACAATTACACCACTGATTTTGCAACATGTCTTTCCCTTTGACTTCTCTTCTTTTTCCTTAACAATGGCGTCTAACATGGCCTTTAATCTCTCCATTTCTTCTCTGTCTCTATTTATCCTCTTCAACAGGCCCGGTATTATACAAATTGCCCTTGGACACATTGGAGGATCTGGCCATTCAAAAAAAACCACATCCCTTCCTTCCCTAAAATCCAAAAAACAAATAATTGCAATTGAACGAACAAAAAATAAAGAATATAAACAAAATACTCACCGGAGATTCAAAACAATGCAAAAACCTCCTTCCCGGATTGCGATCCATCCAAGATGTTCGAATTACAAGCTCATTCCCACATTCACACTCTCGAATTTCTACGGATCCCCCAATATTATATCTTCTCATCGTACAACTTGAACTAGATGACATTTTCTTATCAAGCAATGGAAATCTGATAAAAAGAGAGGAAGAAATGGGAGAAAGAATTAGCTTGACAGAAGGGAAGGGAAATAGATTAGGGTTAGTAAGGGATGGGATGGGAGGGATGGGTTTCTTAATAATATGCTCGACAGAGTGTATTTTAGGGGTAAATAAAGAAAAAGACTATTTTGCCCTAGGATTTAACGCTTGAGACGGACAAACATAACGGAAGGACTATAGGAGGTCATTTTAAAACTAGGAGGGTGACTGAAGGTCAAAATGAAAGTTTAGGACCATTGATGGAGAAACCACTAAACTCGAGGGACCTTGGCTGGTATTTACTCTATATTAAAATTTTAAAATTCAACAAATTTAATTTGATATCAAATATTTATTTTTGAAAATAAACAACTTCATTAATTAAGATCCTCAGCAAGAACAGTAAGAAGAGTGGAAGGAGGGACGGTCTCCATTCTTTACGATTGGCAACGAACATGGTTTCCCTAGCTAACACATGAGTTGCCCTATTCGTGGATCATTTAGCAAACATAAAGCTAATGCCGAGTTCACTAGCTAGATTCCTAATATCCTCAAGAATAAGATCAGACGAGGAAATACAAGAGAGATCATTCAGTCTATTGATAACAAGCATTGCATCTGATTCCACAAGAATAGATTGGAACCTCAACGATTTAGTCCATTTCAATGCTTCTCTGACCGAGATTGCTTATGTTGTTTTGGGGTGGTAGGAGCCCTTCCACTACTTCTCCAGGGCAGCCAAAAAATTACCCTTAGAGTCTCAAATGATGCAACCAATCCATGTCGTTCTATTCTTGAAATCATTTGCCGCATCAACGTTCAACTTGCGGGGGGGGGGGTGGGGTGGGGTGGGGGTTTATTCTACTTGCATTGAACTGGACAGTCTACCCTCTTAGTACGAAGCTTATCAGTATTAGGGAAGACCTTAGAACAAGTTTGCCAGATAAAATTTTTAATCTTTGGGGGATAGAGAGATTTCATATAGATGTCCAGCTAAGTTTTTCGCCCCCTGACAGAGCATTGGTGAGAAGTCTGTAGCAACTTTTTACTGAATAAACACATTTGTCATCGGCACTCCAAATCATCATATCTTCAATGTTACACAAAGGCAAAGGAATAATCATGATGTGATCCATGTACTCTTCCACAAAGATGTCCTTTATGATATCCTCATCCCATTTTTCCTGTTGAATATTCATAAGAGATGAGACTTTGGCATCTTCCAAATACTGTGGTATAAGTGTTGTAACATAGGGGAATTTTTTATAGGGATCCAATGGTCTTTCCAAATGTTGATAGACAGTCCATTCCCCCCCCCCCCCCCCCCCCCCTCCACCTAAAATTAGTCAGTTAGCCTTCAAGATTGATTGGGACTCCAAAATGCTTCTCCAGATAAATGAGGGGCTTCCACCCAACTTAGCCTCAAGAAAAGAGGAATTCTTGAAATATTTTACAGTGAAAACTCTAGATACAAGAGAATCAAAGAAGTGAATAAACCGCCACGCTTGTTTCCCGAGAAGAGAAATGTTGAACTCCCTTATTTTGCGAAAAGATGAAAAACCATGCCACCGAAAATTTTTGGTTTACACAATTCATGCCACCTTTTCCAGTTTATACCCCTACCCCTGTCAATCTGCCCCTTCTACCAAAATTTATTCATTGCAATTTCTATGTTATTGCACAAGCCTAATGGAAGCGAGAAAATACCCATTGCATAGGTAGGGATCGCATGGGGGATGTTTTTTATAAGAACTCGGCCTTAGAAAGGAATTTATTATTCCAACTTCTAATACGTCCCAGGATCTTCTATTTTACGAATCCCAAAATCTCATCCCCCCACCCCTTTCCAATCAGAGAAGGAGGGCTCAAGTCCTTCCTAGTGTGAGAACCTTCAAAAATTCCCATGACCTCACATAGTCACATACCACCTCCCTGGATAATCTGTCCACATTTTTGCTAAAGAAAAGTGCTGACTTGTTGTAGTTGATATTCTATCCAAATGCCAGAGAAAACTCAAAGAGAATAGCTTTCATGACGTTAACCTCATAAGAGTTTCCCCTATATAATAACAGACAGTCATCTGCAAAGAATAAGTGGCTTATTTGCGGGGCTCCTTTTGCAATTGCTATCCCATGAATTTCATTGTTCTATACCTCCTTGTTGATCATCGCACTCAAACACTCCATCATCAAAATAAAGAAGTAAGGGGAGAGTGGGTCACCTTGCCTTAAACCCCTCATAGGAATTGTAGGACCCAACTCATGCCCTTCATGAATAATCTTGAATTGGACCGAACGAACACAACATGTTATCATATCAACAAACTCCATATTGAACCCAGTTTACTAAGTGCACCCTCAACTAGGTCCCAACTCACTCTATCATAGGCCTTAGTCATATCGATTTTCATATTCACAACCCCATTTTTACTTTGTATTTTTCTGTTTAGATAATGATGGGATTCATACGCCAAAAGAAGATTGTCTGTGATCGGACGATTAGGCCCAAAAAGCACATTGGGAAATCGAAATCAAGGAATTGAGCAAAGGTTTTATTTTGTTAGCTATAGTCTTAGCATGAATTTTGTACAAAACATTGCATAGAACAATGGGACTAAGATTAGACATAGACTCAGGTTTGGAGACTTTAGGTATGAGAACTATATGAGTGTTATTACAACCATTAGGGAGAGTTTTAGACATTCTAAAATTTTCACAGAAAAGAACCACATCCCTACCCACAATATCCCAATAGTGTTGGAAAAAATGGGAGTGAGCCCATCTAGACCAAGGGATTTATCGGGTTTCATATAAAAAAAGGTTTTCTTCACTTCTGCATTATCAAACTTTCTAACCAACACACTGTTCTGAATGTTAGAGATTTTTCCTTCTAAACAATCCACAACCAAATTTATGTTCCCCTGATTAGAATGGAATAAATTCTAAAAGTAATTGGTAAACTGTTCAAATCATTACATCTCTCAACCCAATCTCCAGATTCATTCTTCAGTCTCCTGATGTGGTTTGTCTGCCTCCTGCGGTGCACTGCGATGTGAAAAAAAAAATTGTATTTTGATCACCCTCACTCAGCCATAGTTCCTTTGCCATCTAGCACCAGTAGGTATTCTGTTGATCAATAGCCCTAAGGTGTTGGACTTGGGCTTCTCTAAACATAGCACGGCCTTAAGCATGTGTTCGTCCTTTTAGCCTCTCCATTCACTTATGCCAATAGTCAATCCTTTGATGGAAATTCTTTGTAAGAAGTCTTCCTTACCTCCACGCCTTCTTCTCACACCTGGCAAACCTATTAGAAAGCTATAGGCCTTGGGAAGATTTCAATCTATCCAAGACCACTTAACAGCAATAAGCTTCCTTTAACTAGAGGTTCTCAAACTTCACTAGTACAAAATTGCAGATAGGCTACCATTGTAAAAGAGAATAGACAACCATTGTACAATGGTTGCCTATGAGAGGCTCACGTAAAGTCCATGACTTTCCGCGACCATTTAGAAATGGTAGCGTATTGTCGATAATACGCGACCATTCTTGACAAAGAATGGTCGCGTATTGTTTTTTTATTTTTTTTATTCAAATGTAATACGCGACCATTCTTGGATAGAAATGGTCGCGTATTGTTTTATCAACTTTCCGCGACCATTCTTCAACAAAGAATGGTCGCGGATACTGTTTTAAAAAATAAAAAAAAATTAAAATAATTTAAAAATTATATTTATTTTGCACCGTAAAATTCTTCACACAACCATTATGAAAGTAAAAAACAATAAATGAAATTTTACATATTTACAATTCTATATTTATTTATGCTTGTCACTTTACTAATCAATGAATGAATTGAACTATAGCATCAACTAGCAGAGAAAAAAATGCAAAGCATTCCTCTTCTCAGTTAATTCCTACTCTTTATTCAAAGATAGATGCTCCCTCCATTTCTGATCTCTGCACATCTCATCAATGCCATATTTTGCCCTGAAGAAAATTAAATGTTAGCCTAGGCCCCAATTATGGGTTTTCATTATTTTATCCGCCAACCACACACTTACTTCCATTTTAATTCCCGTTCTGCTTTCTCGTTTGCTGCATACACAGTTTCAGCATCACCAGGTCGTCGGGCAGCCATCACCAGTGGAATTTTCTATCCAAACACAAAAATGGATTTGTTAATATACCATACCACGACTAAAGCAACGCCTAACGTTATGAACTCTTTGAAATATTATAACCAAATACCTAGACAGACATTAATCACAACAACTAAGTAAGAATCAAATGAACCATCCAAGCTTGCTTTTACCTTTCCTGATACTTTCTCGAATGCTGTTACCATTTCCAATACCGTGTTCCCCAACACTACCACTCTCATTCGAAACATCGTTGTTCAAAACATGGAAAGCGGCATAATACTGCTGAGGCTGATGGTAAAACCTCTGTACACTGCTAGACGACGATTGAGGTCCCTGGGAGCCCTGCATTTGTAGTTGCGGAATAACCCTTCTTCACTCGCTCAAAAAATGGGTAAATACTACTTCAATTTAGGTACGTTTCTTCGATCGAAACGAGTCCATTGATCGCAAAAGGGAGTGTAACCAACAAAATCTGCAAAGACAAAAACTTCGATCAGCTTGCTTAAACCATTAAATCTTGTCAACAAGAATAGTAAAGATCACAATCAAATCAATCAAATCCATCAAAACAGAACAAGAACTACAATATTGATAAACATCTACAATAACAATGCATAGTACAGGTAAGGAATGAGAATAACCTTGTAAATCCAGAAGCTTATGAAGTAAAATAAGTATCAAACTTACATATTCAAACCCAAATTTTAATAAATCTGAGGAAGTAATACCAGAAAGATCGTTTTACACTCTTGCAGAATATAACTAAATCAGAAATTCTTTTAATCTCAAGTGAATCTTGATGGCAGAGCACTAAATCTAGATGGAAAGCATATATGCTGTAAAGCCAGAACCCATATCACTAACCACTGATAAGCAAATGCAAAATAACTATACAAAACTTGAATATTTTACAAATTATCTCATCTGTCTACAACTTTAGGAAAGTACCTTTAAATTTTAGTCCTTTTTTTTTTTTTCCATTTTCATCTAAAGGAAGGAGTAAAGATAAAGCATGCCACTTCAAAGAGATGTGCCTCTTACCTTATAATTAAAAGAAAAAGATGATTAATCTCTTCAAAAACATTTCAGAAAATTTCTGAGAAAATAGAATCCTAAGTTGTATACTTCACAGCCTGGACGAACAAAAACAATATAAGAAAGCTATTATATAGAGATTAAGACAATGAAAGTAGATTACTTCTTAAAAGGTAAGTAATCTCATTATTCATTTTATTTGAATATTTCAATCTCATTTTGCAATAATCTCCTGGTATTGGAATATTCAAATAAAATGGAGGAATGAATATATAACTTAAAAAGATAAAATAAAATGGAAAACCTAAAAAAAAAAAAAAAAAAAAAAAAAAAAAAAAAAAAGTGAAGATCTGTCTGGAAGCTTTCTAGTTGTTACTTCTATATATGGTGATGGATATGCAGCAACTCATAGAAAGTGAAAGACAAAGGAACTGGCAAGGATTGAGGCCATAAATTTGACTTCGAGTACTATTTAAGCATAAACTAGAACTAAAAAAACATCCTGAAGAACACAGATTCAGAACAGTAAAACTCAAACATTAGTTGCAAAATCATGCAACACTTTGGTGATTTAATAGGCAACAACATTATGAACATCAATAAATTGAATCACTTGCCCCAACACCATACAATATATATTCAAAACATTATATACTATGTATATTGCTTCTAGACATCAGTAGCCACATTAAGCTACCAATAATAGAAAACGAACATACTCTGTAGTATAAAATGGCAGGTATTAACAAATGAATTGGTTAGCTTCAACAAAAAGATAGAGATTTAGCTCAAAGCAGCTAAACACTATTACTTGACCATAGTAGTATTAGGAAAAACTTGAATGAAGAAACAGTTGCAATGAGATCACCTTTAGAAAAATTAGATGGCGGTAGAGCTCCGGGTCCAATGAAGGTAAATCATTCAAATAGTTATGCCTGAGGAGCAATGTGAATGGGGAAAAATGAGCAACAATACAACAAAACAAAAATAGTAAGCAAAGTATATACACTAAACAAAGTAATTCCCTTTCTCTTTCTATACACAGTAAATAAATCAAATTATAAGAAATTAATTATATTACACAAAAAGTAACAAATTTATCAAGAAATTAATCTCATTCTATGTGAAGTAAATGGACTGCAATTCACTGATGAAATTAGGGTGTAATTCATAGTTTTCTCATTCAAGAGACTCATCTAGTGGTGATGCACACTCGGAAAGCAGAATATAGGCAGTCCAATGCACAAAGCTTCAGTAAAGCATACAATTCATTTGCAAGAACAGTCCCAAGAAAGTGGAAGTATTGGAGATGTTCATGAATCAGCCCTGATCCAGGATTGGGATATAGTAGGTGATCAGCTTTTTCCTAGATATATAAAAACAGATATGCATTACTGAAAATAGACACCCAAAAAAAAAATGACAGATACAGAGTAAAAAACAAAAAATGCAAATCTTTAGTAACAACAGAGTGTCATGTTGTTGTGGGTTCTCTTTCCCAAAATTAAATTGTACATACAGGCTCAACAAATAACTCTTTGCTTATTAACAACTGATACAGGTCTACACAAACATTCCATTTTTCCTTTCCTATTTTTATAATTTTTCCCTTCAGGATGATAGATAACAAATAATAATAGGTAAATGTCTCCCATATACAATCAAATTTGAGAACAAAATCAAAACATCAACTCATGCAACAATAATTGACTGAAACCTAGAAACAAAATCTGCTAATCTGCTCGTCAACTTTAAACCCTAGGGTTTTCAATAAATCTTCATTCAAAAAAGTACATAAATGAACAAAAACAAGGTAAATCTTCACAAAAAAAAAAAAAAAAGAATGCTCACCAGAAGGAGGTACTGATTGGGGCAGTAACGCCGCCACTGCCGCTGCGACGAGGATCTGAAGCCGCCGCTTGATGTAGAACATGCCATTCTTGAAATGTTGGTCGAAGCTGAAGCTGTCGTCGGCCTTCACGCTAGGTCTAGAGGATTTGAAACTGGTGTAGAATCTGAAACGGTGGCCCTTTCGAATTTCAGAAAACTCTCCCTACGAGGGCAGAACCTATACCGCTACCCTCAAAACAGAGAGAAACGTCGGAGCTTTCTTCTTCTTCGATGGAGCGGCGGTCGTCGGTATCTGAAGCAGGGCCGGAGGCGCCGGCTATGGCGGTGGTAGTAGCGGTCGTGCAGTCGTGCGGTGGATCGAAGTGGATGAAGATTATTTTAAATCTGAGATGCGATCGATTTATTACCTAGGTAGTAGAACTAGGGTTAATATTAGGGCAACCATTTCTATTAGAAATGGTTGCCTATTATAAATCAATTTTTTTTTAAATAAATAAAAAATACAATGGGCAACCATTACAACTAATAATGGTGGTAGATTATTGATCATTTATTTACAAAATTGCCACCGCGAATTTTTGGGCTAAAATTAGGCAACCATTCTTTCAATAATGGTGGTCTATGGTCAATCTTCTATGTTCAATTTTGTACTAGTGCTTGAATCTTAGTTGGTGATAAATGGTGGAATTCACTTCAAGATCAATAAACAGAGGCTGGTGATCACTTCTAGACATAATTAAAGAGGAAGCTTTAGCACCCCCAAACTCTTCCCTCCAAGAGTCAGAAACAAGGATACGATCTAATTTTGCTTGAATTCATTGCGGCTTGCAGCGTGACTTCTCCCAAGTAAATTGGTGGCCATTGAAACTGAAATCCGATAACCCACTTAACTCCACAGCCTCACAAAAGCCTTCCATTGGCCAATGAGGATTTCCACCCTTCTTTTCAGGCGAATCCATGATGTCATTAAAGTCACCAGCAACAACCCACGGGAGGTTGTCTTGCGTGGAGAGTTGTTTGTGGAGATTCCACCCAATGTGTCGTTGATTTCTTTCAGGTTCCCCAAAGAAACCAATGAGTCTCCAGATTTTTCCATTATCATTATGAGTGACTATAGTGTCGATGTGGTGAGAAGAAAAACTTTTGATAGTTACCATCAGACCATACTTCCAAAAACACGCTAAACCCCCACTATGACCTATGTTCTCCATAGCTAAAAGCCCTTCAAAGCTAGTCTCTTCCTAATGCGCTCCAATTTGTTTTGGCCCACAAAAGTCTCAATTAAAATAACAATGTCAGGCTTCTTTGAGTGGATTAAATCCACTAAAACATGAACTGGCGTGGGGTTGCCTAGCCCAGGACAGTTCCAAACAAGGATTTTCATTGATTTATGAGGGTCTGAGTAGCATGACCCACCTCCAACAAGTTTTTTTTGGCACCGAAGCAGATAGTTTAACAATCATCATGTTTTCCTCTGGTAGCGTATAAGAACTGCGCCCAAAATCCTAAATATCACTCTTTTGCCTTTTTTGATGCAGGGTAAGTTGGCTCAGCCTAGTGACATTGGATTGACTTTGAGAAGCATTGCCAACTTGTTAGGTTTAAATTGTAATAGACTTTGATATGCCAAATTTGTAATTGTAGAACCCCCAATTTTTATTTTGTTTAAGTCTAGTTGAGTCTTAGACCACGATCAGGAAATTATTAAGAAGCAAAAGAAAAAAAAAAAAAAAACAAAAGAGGAAGATGTATGAAAAATGGAAGAAGATATCAAGCCTAAAATCAAGAATTTGTCTGGTGAAAATGACAAATAGAAGAAGAAGATGTATAATATAAACTTCACACTATGCCTTACTCAAAAAGAATTCCTAGAAGAATTTTCTTTGAAGAAGATCAAGATTTGAAGTTTGCATGAATTTGACTTGAAGATTAAGCATCTATGGAAAGAAATGAGTACATCAAAGAAGATTGGAGATGTAACCAAATGACTGTATAGACGAGTTAGAAGATGTTTGATATATTATACCCAATGGCTCAAGTTTGAATCTCATCATCTACAATTTTACAAGGTAAAATTTGAGGTGCCAAATTAATTAAGCCTAAGCCGGATGAAGTTGGGATGCAAGGTAAACCAAGAAATTGAAGACCAGATGAAGTTGGGATGCAATTGTGTGTAACCAATTGAAGTCCAGTTTCAATTGAATAGTCAAAGTCAAACCAGGAGAATTCAAATTGGGAAGCAATTGAAGACCAAATTAGAAAAATAAAAGCAATTGAAGACCAAATTAGAAAAATAAAATTGAAGTCCAGATAAAAGCAATTGAAGACCAAATTAGAAAAATAAAATTGAAGTCCAGTTTCAATTGATGACC